ATGAGAGATCCCTGGCACTTGTGAGGTCACAGCCAGCTAATTCCACCTCCAGCAGCCACCTGCCAGTAGGAAAGGGAAGGTTATTCAGGTTATTTAGGTGACTCAGACTCAAAGGAATCTCTATCCCTCACAAATTCCTGCATCACCCCCGGAATGTCTGGCTAATTAGAGCATCTTGGAGAGACACATCCTATGCTGAGGGTTATTTTGAGATCTCCAATTATCTCTTGCAGACTCCAGGCTAAAATCTGACTGGAGCAGTGCTGTGAGAGGGAGGGAACGCCTGATCCAGGGCATGTTTGCAAAATACTTGTAGCATATACAGCTATTTCAATATATTAATATTTACAGTCTGCCACAACATTTAAGTCTTCCCCATAAACATGCAACAAAGGCAAGGCACGAGCTGGATCCCTCCAGAGGCAGCGTCACAAGATCCACTTCTACAGGTAAAAAAAAAAACAAAACCCTGCATCATAATAGATGATCTCTATCAAATCTTTTCCATTTGATATAAAAGCTGTGCCTATTAAGAAAGAAACGGGAAAGATTGGTACATGGCCAGAGAAACTGATGTTCCAATTACATTGTAAATGAAGATGAATTTGATAACCAGGCCACAAATCCAGACACGTTATCGTTGCCCCTGGCAGGATCCAATTTTCAAGTGGAAGAATTCAGGGTAATCTCCCTGTTGCAGCATTTCCACACATTACCTCTTCCTTGTCCCTAATGCTCCTCAGATAAGAGAAGCTCGTTTGGGAGCTTTACAATTCCATGTAAAATTAGACTTGTGTCCTTTTATGTCCTGTGCCCAGGTTGCCTTTTGAAGCCGTTGGGCTTGTTCAGCACTGCAAGGGTTTATTTCTTTGTTCTTTTATTTATGGAGATCAGACTTTCAGTGGTCTCAGGGTTTGAGAGGAAGCATTTAGCTGTTCCCAAAAGCCTTGGGATGCTGCCCTGGGGGAGAAATGTGTCCTTGCTGCCTAAGCAGGTCACTCCACTGATGTGTGATCACCTCCCACTCGTTTGCAACCACTTGCATCCATTTATAAAAGCAATTTATTAGAGAAGCATGGCCTATTCCCCATCCCTGGAATGTTCCAGGCCAGGTTGGACGGGGCTTGGAGCAACCTGGTCTATTGGAAGATGTCCCTTCCCATGGTAGGGGGTGGAATGAGATGGGCTTTAAGGTCCCTTCCTACCAAAACCATTCTGGGATTCCAAGAGATGTGTCCCAGGATCCCTGATGGAGATCTCTGGCTATGCCAGCGGACAGAAATCCTTAAAAACTGACCAGCCAGCAGCCAGATCCCCTTTGATCCCACTGATGGGGGCCAGAAGGTGTAGAACTGGCAAGGTCTGTCTGGGTTTAAAACCTGCAGTCTGTAATTTTAATGCCTTATGGACCCCCACAGGAATTCCCACCGAGCCATTCCTTCAGCTGCTCTGCTCCTGCAGCATCGGGTGACAAACCCCAGGGCACTGGGAACCAGATGATCTTTAAGGCCCCTTCCAACCCAAACCAGCCTGTGATTCCATGAAATCCAACACCCCCAGGAAGCAGCAGCTCCAAGAGATGGACCTCATCACATTTTCCCCCCCTCCCTAAATCCACTGAAAACCTCTTTCCCTCCGGATCCCCGGCTGGTACAATTCTGGAGCCTCCTCCACGCCGTGACCTCTGCGAGAGCGTCGGGCAGGGAGAGCCAGCCAGCTCTCCCTTTTTTTATTTGTGGGGATGTGGTTTTAACAGCTCAGATGGTGCCACCCCCACACTGTACAAACACAACACACACACACACACACAGACTCACCCCCGTGGGCGCTGCCCCTGCTCCTCCTCACCCCCGGCGGCTCCCGGCGCCCAGAACTCTCCGCTCCTGCAAGTCAAAGACAGTTTTCGTGAGGCTCCTCAATGGAAGCACAAATCCCACCCTCCTTCCCTCGAAAAAATAAAACAAAACAAAAGAAGAAAGGGAAAAAGAAAAAAAAGATTCCCACATGCAGTTATTACACATGAAGGAAAACATGCAACTTCAGCTGAGCTGTGGACGTTTCACAGGGAAACAGCAATACTGGGGCGGGGGGGGAGGGAGGCTAAAAAGTTTACATTTTTAAACAACTGAGCGGAATTTGGGGGTTTGTTGGGGTTTTTTTTGGCAGTAGCAGGAACTAACTAGGTTCATTTTTACATCCTTGGATATTTAAATATTCCTCTTTGCCCACGTTCCGCCGGAGTGCATTTATTTTTTATCTCCGAGGGCACGTTTATTAAAGTTATATCTCTAATTTATGCAGAGAAAAAAAAAAACATGTGGGTTGTTTTAAAACGTTTTTATTTTAAACATTTTTTTTCTCTTTTTTTTTTTGCGAGTTGCCTTTTTTTTTTTTGTTTTTAAATTACATTAAAATTAAAACATCTCAAGGCTTGGCTGGATAAAAAAAGTTTACGTCACGGGTTTATGGAAAAGAGAAATGCGCTGTTAAAATCAGACATTTAGGTTACCTTTTGGGCGATGCATGTTAGCTTTACACATCCTGATTGATTCTCCTGCTGATAATTTTCCTTTAAAAGGGGGGTAATGGGCAGATCTTTTCATCAAGCAACCACATTATGCCCTGAAAGCTGACTCCAAACCAGTGTTGAAAATTCGGTTATTTGCACTTTAATAACAATCTACAAATACAAGTTTGTGGTTTTTTGTTGTGGTTTTTTTTTTTTCTTTTCTTTTTTTAAAGTATTCCCCTCGTTCATGCGCTGCCACAGTTTTGCTCCCTAATATTCTTATTTTTCACCCCCGAGCAGTTTAATTCTCTCTCCCCTTAAAGAGTTCCAAATTCGTCTGGGAGATGGGAAACACAAACCATTTTTTTCATGTCTCTTTAAGAAGCATTTAGTTTTAAATATATATGTAATATATATAATATATCTCTGTACATCCACACCCTCTCAGAAGGATTTTAAGGAGCAGCTGCAGCACCATTTTCCAACAAAAATACATTTTTTAAGTGGTTTTTCCAAGTAAAAGCTACCGTGAAGTAGGAAGGGCATCATCTTAGCCAAGGGAGGGGGTTTTACAGAAAGCAACTTCCTTCTCCTCCTGGTGGCAGCTAAGCCTTGGAATTTTCAGCATTCCTTTTGTCATGCTACTTAAAGCAGGGATTTCAGACTCAAGCTGGAGTCTGCAGCCCGGAATATTCTCCGAGGCCACTTGAAATCCGAATCAGTAACTCAGCAAAGAACCATAAAACACTTTCCAAGTCAGATTTCTGCCCCAGTCCAGGCTCAAACCGCTTTTAACAACTTCCAGGGGGTGAAAAACAAATTTTTTCTTTTTCATATATATATAAATTTATTTTTTTTTTAATTTAAGCTCATTCAACGAGCTCAGTAAATTTGTTTTGTTTTGTTTTTTTGGTGAGAATTACAAAAAAAACCACCTTTTTGTTTTTTTTTTTTTAGAATGTCTCCATCGTTTTAAAAAGACAATTATAGCTTTAGCATTAATTTAAATTTATTTAAAAACGAACAGAACGGAAATAAAATAAAATAAAAAATCGCTACTTTTTATCGCTCAACCAAAACAAATGACAATTCATCACATTTACTTTGATTAAAAAAGGACTAAACTTTATTGACAAATTGCGACAGACATTTTGACACGTTTTTAGCTACCTAGTTAGGCAGACTTACACATGTAGCATTTTCTCTTCCAGAACAGAGTGGGAGGACAGTGTACAAATCCAATTAGGACTTTATCTTATGTACAAAGTGAAATTTTTGATCATTTTGTTGGTTTTTTTTTTTCCCAGCTGCAGTGTCCCTTTTTATGCAAGGCTCGTGCTGAGATACACTTGAACAAGTCGATGGGACTGCTAATATTGACATTTTTACTTTGTTTTTGTGTTTTCTTTTTAAACTTGCACTGGATTATCTGCCCCAAGCACTATAAAAAATGAGAATTTTACAGAGTTCAGACCTACCCATGGAATATTCTGCTTTCTACTATCAAACACTGGGCAATTAGAGCCATGCTTTGTTTTTGTCCCTTAAAATTGTTCATCTAGAACCAAACTAAGAACCCCTTTACACTGGAAATATCTGCTTCCCAAGCATATCTCAACACTGCACGGGGGGCTAGATTTCAAAATCCACATAAGAAAAGTCAATTTTACAAACCTAATTTTTCTTTTAGGTCAATTCTCTTTAAAAAAAAAAGCTATTTAATTTGTTGGAGGATCTTTCATATTAAAATTTAAACTTCAAGATTCACCAGCAATCTCCTTATAAAGAAGTTTTGGCATCTGAAGTTACTTTTTTCCTTTTTTTTTTTAGAAATGGTGGCAGCTACTACCGTTACATTATGATTTTAATGCTTAAAAACAGCCCTGAATTTTGAAATGTAGCCTACTTTGGGATTCTGCAACTACAACCTTTATGGGTTCCTTTAAAACAAACTTTAAAAAGTTTTAAACAAAAACCTTAATTTCATAGCTGCTAAGCAAAGCATGTCACTTTGGAAAACTAACACTTTTAAACTGTGGTTTTGTAGGTTTTTTTTGTTGTTTTTTTTTTTTTTTCCTTAAAAAAAAAAAAAAGAAAGGTACAGTTGAGTTTATCTAAACGACAAAGAAAGAAAAAGCCACCTACACACTGGAAAAAAAAATAAAAATAAAAATTTAAAGTCGCTTCCTCTAATTAAAAAAAAAAAAAAATCTATTTAACTCATCTTTTAAAAGTACTACGTACAGAAGCCGAAATGCAGGGTGAGGATGGAGTGGGAGAAAAAGGGGCCACGAAGAAAAACAGTTAGACAATTACTTGTCTGGTGTGGGCAAAGCAACGGGAATCCCGGGAGATACAAGAATCAGTAACAACTGTTTTGCTCAAAAGTGGGATTTTTCCCTCATGTTTTGTGTTCTCAGTAGCGTCCGTAGGGGTGGTCTCGGTAGGCCCCCTTCACTGGCCTGGCCGGCGGGGCCTTCAGGGAGGGCCGGGTCCCATTCCAGTCATCTTGCCCTGTGGAGAAGACAAGGATATGTCAGGGATGTGGTGGTGGTGCCTCACCTCAGCACCCAACTGGAAAACACCCCGTGGTCCAACAAAATATTGGATTTACAGGATGATTTAGGCTGGAAAACCCCGTTAAGACTGAGCCCAATTAACCCACCACTAAACCTTCCAGCACTGTGGGAAGGAGGAGGTGACACAGGGACGTGTCCAGGTGGGTCTGGGATGTCTCCAGAGACTCCAAGCCCTCCCTGGGCAGCTGTTCCAGGCTCTGCCACCTCCATGGAAAGGAATGAGTTCTGCCTCAGGTTGAGGTGGAACTTGGCTGGGTTTTAGTTTATGGCCATTGCTCCTTGTCCTGTCACTGGGCACCCCTGAACAGAGCCTGGGACCATCCTCTGACACCCCTTGGAGATATTTGTATGGATTGGTGAGACATTTACATGGATTGATGAGATATTTGTGTGGATTGAGGAGATATTCGTAGGGATTCATGAGATCCCCTCTCAGCCTTGCCCTCTCCAGACTAACCAGGCCCAGCTCCCGCAGTTTCTCCTCATAAGGATCCCCAAAATCTCCTGCAGCTCCAACTTGGACAAACCCGGTGCCTTTCAGGAGTAATTAATTCCAGCAGGGCCAAAGCCAGTCCCCAGGGCAGTGTGGCACCAGCTGTGCCAGAGGTTCTGCCAGCATCCCTAATCCCAGGGTCTCACCATCAGGGACAGCTGCAGGAAGTGCTTCCCTCCTTCCCAGACACCAGGCAGGGCAGATCCTGGGCAGGTGAAAGGTGTCCCTGCCTGTGGTGGGGGGTGGAACGAGATGATCTTTAAGGGTCCCTCATGCCCCAAACCATCCCAGGATTCCATGAACCACCACTGAAGCAAATGGAGTTCACATCCCTGCTGTCCCTGAGACAGCTCCAGCCCCAAATATCCCAGCTCAGCTCTCATTAAGGCCTGTGCTTGCAACATCCATCCTCGTGTTCCTGCCAGTCTCTCCAGGGTCACCACTTTATGAAATCAAGAGTCCCACGACAGCCGAGCCTGTTCCTACCACCACGGAGCACATTCCCCTTTTCTCCAAACTCTCTCCAGCCTGGCCCAGTGATTTATTCCTCTAATTCTGTTTTCATGAAAGCAGAGACCAAAGGAAATTGCTGTGGATAAACAGATTAGCCGTGGCAACTTCATGCCAAGTGTACAATGAGCATTTTGGCCTCCCAATCCCGGCCGACTCCGCCGCTCTCCCACCAAGCCGGAGGCACAAAGGGCTCTTTGTGCTGCGTGACAAACACAGGCAACAAACCCAGGCATTGAAGGCAGGAAAGAGCCAACGTTCCTGGGAGCAGCTGTCTGCTCAAATGCAGCCTAGGCTGGAAAACATCCCTGCTCAGGCACCTGAGTTTGAACTTCCCACAGCTTAAACCCGGAGCAGGGAACACCCCGAGGCTGGAGCAGGGTATTAACTCTGCTTCCCTGTTACTGGTATGACAGGGCACAGAGGATTCCCAGTTCCCAGGGATCCCAGAAAGCCCCTCCAGCTGGTCATTAATGTCACTACCTGCACTCACTCAGCTGATGCTCTGGGAAAGGCAGTTTCCAATCACATGGAATTCTGTGCCTTTATGCTGTGCAGCTTTGGGAACTTATGATATCATGTGGTCTGGAATATCCCTCTGGTCAGCTGGGTCAGTGTCCTGGCTGTGTGCCCTCCCAGTTTCCCCAGTCCCATGCCAGAGTGGCAGTGCAAGGAGCAGGAAAGGCCCTGGCTGTGTGTGAGCTCTGCTCAGCAACAACAAAACATCTCTGTATCGTCAGCACAAATCCCAAACTCAGCCCCAGAGCAGCCACTGGGAAGAAAATTAACTCTGCCCCAGCCCAAAGCAGCACAGGCTTGTTTAGAGGGAGAGGAAAATGCTTCTTACTCATTGCCATGTGCAGCTGCCATTCCAAGCCTGGATATAGGAACTGGCTTAAAAAAGAAATGCAGCCACAGCTGAGGGGAGAACTTCTGCAGTGATGGTGTTTGTCTTCCCAAGGAAGCAAGGAACTAATTCCTTGTTTTACTTTGCTTTTCCCATTGAACTGTCTTTATCTCAACCCATGAGTTCTCCCACTTTTACCCTTCCAGTTCTCTCCCCCATCCCAGGAATGGGGAGTGAGTGAGTGGCTGGTGGGGTGTGGCTGCCTCTTGGGGTTAAGCCACAACAGTTTGGTTCAGTCCAGCCTAAGTCAGTACTTTTACATAATTCAAATTAACTAAACTTCATAAACTACTTGCAAGTCATATTGAGCAAAACTGTTCCAAAGAGAGGCCTTTATGTGACATACAAATCCATTTTCCAAGCTAATGTATAGCACAGAGTCAGGATCAGGTAGCGGGTTTTTGAGGATAAGGAAGCAGATGGAGCCATATAAAACACAGTCCATGAAGACCAGACTGCAGCAGTAGTGCTGTGGGTGGAAATCCAGACCTCTTAAAATGTACTAAAGCTACAAGGAAATTAAGATATTTCCATAGTTAAAAACCGGATCTTTTTAAAGTGTCATCTTTGAGACAATCAAGTTTGATAAGGATCTAAACCCACAGAATGCCTTTGCTTGTTCAGATCTAGATACAAATGTTCTACCATGAAAACTACTTGAGGTTCTCCTCAGTTTTTGTTCAGACCCTGGAGTGACACTGGAAAACTGCTGGTTGGCCACAAGCCATTCCCAACTACGTGCAGCCCCTTCCCAGTGAAAGGAACAGTATTCCCAGACATACCATAAGCTTCATAGGTTTCCTGTGCCTCCCCGTGTCCATAATCATAGTATTCTGTGTCCCTGGAAGAGTAATCAGGTGGTTACATCCAGTGAAATCACATTCTCAAACTGACACAACTTGCACAAACGCTGGACAAGCAAAAGATGCCCAGTGTTGTCCGTGTCATTTCCCAGGCTCTCCTGGACTGCAGCAGAACAGGGCACCTTCTCTACAGCTCAGACCCAGAAATGAGTGTTTGCATTCCCTTAAAATGGGAAAAAAAAAAAAAAAAAAAAAGAATAAAGGTCATGCATTATATGTCAGGAAGAGAGAAGCCAACTCACCCTTGGCCCTGGCTGTAGTAGCCCTCATAGCCCTCGTAGCTCTGGTCTGCGTACGTGTCGTCGTAGCCCTGGAAGGGATCATGACACAAACGTGTTAATGGAAGGACCAAAGGATAATTCCTGGCCAACAGGGATGGCAGGACTGAATTCAGGCTACAGCAGCTCTCAGAGGAGCCTGGAAATCCTTCCCTGCCACAGGGAGGTGGCAGACATGGCTGAGACCTGCTGTGTCCCGTGGCTCGGGAGGAATGAATCATACTAATATTTATAATTCATGGCCAAGGCTGCAGCTCGGCTGAGGGACAAATCCCTGTGCCAGGAGACCTGGAACTGTGTTATTAGGAAAAGGTTCTTCCCCCAGAGGGTGG